TTACAGTTGTCACAAACATAAATATCATTACAGTTGTCACAAACACAAATATCATTACAGTTTTCACAAACATAAGTATCATTACAGTTTTCACAAACATAAATATCATTACAGTTGTCACAAACATAAATATAATTACAGTTGTAACAAACACAAATATAATTACAGTTGTAACAAACACAAATATCATTACAGTTGTAACAAACACAAATATCATTACAGTTGTAACAAACACAAATATCATTACAGTTGTAACAAACATAAATATCATTACAGTTGTCACAAACATAAATATCATTACAGTTGTCACAAACATAAATATCATTACAGTTGTCACAAACACAAATATCATTACAGTTGTAACAAACACAAATATCATTACAGTTGTAACAAACATAAATATAATTACAGCTGTAACAAAATTAAATAGCATTACAGTTGTAATAAACATAAATATAATTACAGTTGTAACAAACATAAATACCATTACAGTTGTAATTTATCACAGAAAGAAACATAACTCAGAATCTAGTTTTAGTCTTTCAGGCACTAACTTCTATCTACTGAAAGTTAATGATATACATGATAAAACTGAAACTTGTTTTTTTTAAATTAAAGTCAATCACTTTAATCATATGCAAAATTACAAAAGTGATTCCCATTGAAAAAACAACAACCTAACCTGGCTAATTGGACTGATATGAAAAGACTGAAAAAAAACAAGGGAGGTGACTATTTCAAGTCTTAGTACTTTGAAACTGGTACCACAGAGGGTTGAATCATCACATTAAAAGGATTTTGAATATACAAGTTAGCAATTTACATGACAACCAAATCAATATAAATTGTGGTGTAACAGTATTGTTACGACATCGAGATCACGTGACCAGTATCACGCCACGTCATTCTCGAACATTCACGTCTTTTCCTTAAATCTCGTGATTCTTCTAGATATAGTGTAGTCTTGTATATATAAGACCGGCCATGAAGCGACGAGGAAATAAGTAATTGAACTGCAGTCAGAGAGTGT